ACTTCAATACCCTCATAACCACACTCTCCCGCGAACCCAAACGACTATTTCACACATTTAACTCTCTTCTTTGACCTGTTGTTCCTCCATCACCTACTAACTTGACCGCCTCAGACTTTGATACTCACTTCACTGATAAGATCTCTACAATCAGCAAAGAGATCTCTCATCGTTCTTCTTCCCCTTACAATACCTCCCCTAACTTCAAACCCTCTGCTGTTCTATGTTCATTCACACCCGCTACATTGGAGGTTTCTGCTCTGCACCAGTCCTCCCGCCCCACCACCTGCTCCTTAGATCCAATTCCCTCGCATCTCATCCGTACTCTGTCTTCGTCTCTTTCTCCACCTTTCACTAAAATTCTCAATCTCTCTCTCTCATATAATATATTTCCATTGCCCTTCAAACATGAAACTGTAACCCCAATTCTAAAGAAGCCCAATCTTGACCCTAACTTCCCATCCAACTATCGTCCTATCTCGCTACTGCCTTTTGCATCCAAGATCCTTGAAAGAATTGTGTATGCGAGATCGACAGACTTCCTCGAGTCCAACTCTCTGCTAGACACACTTCAGTCTGGTTTCCGCGCTAAGCACTCTGTGGAAACGGCACTGACCAAAGTATCCAATGATCTACTCGCTGCAAAATCTCGTGGTCACTACTCTATCCTAATTCTCCTTGACCTGTCTGCGGATTTTAACACTGTTGATCATCAACAGCTTCTTCTCATCCTCTGCAATATCGGTCTACAAGATATTGCTCTCTCCTGGAGGCCTTTAGCCCAGGTGGGTAACTGCAGTGTTCAACAGATGCCCGTCGTCTGAGAATGCTCCAGGAGTGCCTGCCGCCATCCTGTGTTTGGAACCATTGATCTGGAGATTTTATTGATTGCCCCTGCATTATCAACAGTCAATTTTTTCTATCATGTTCAGTTTACAGAGAAATTTCACTCCTCCAACATGATAAATAGAACCTGCTCTGCAAAATCAATATACTACATATCCCATAAACCCCTGCTATGCATGTTTTTATCGGATACAAATTTCTTCTTGGTTAGAGAGGGCTCTGTAGATTTAAAGGTATGGGTTTTTTTTATAAAATTTTTTAAGGCATTAATAAGGGACACTCCAGTCACTGAGAGATTGCTGCAATGCTTTAAGAATTAAAGGATCACTATAGGGTCAGGAACACAAACATGTATTCCTTCCCCATAGGGAAAACCTACCATTTAAGTGGCTTGCCCCCCCTAGCCCACTCAGAATGGGTTAAAACTCACCTTATTTTCAGCTCTCCTCGGGTCTGCCGGTGCAGGCCCCGCCCCCTTGGTGACATGATCAAAATTGCCGATTTTTAGCCAGTCCAATGCTTTGGATTAGCTAAAATAGGCAAGTGGTCGGGGCCAAACACTGTTTTGGCCAATCAGCACCTCCTCATAGAGATGCATTGAATCAATGCATCTCTTTGAGGAAAATTCAGCGTCCCCATGCAGAGCTTGGGGACGCTGTACAGCAGTGCTGCCTACTATGCAGCACTGAGCCAGGAAGCCCCTCCAGTGTCCATCTGAGGAGTGGCCACTTGGAGGTGTCCCTGGGGGCAATCTAAACACTGCCTTTTCTATGAAAAGGCAGTGTTTGCATGAAAATGCCTGAAGGCAATGATTATACTCACCAGAACAAGTACATTAAGCTGTAGTTGTTCTGGTGACTATAGGGTCCCTTTAACTGCATTTCCCTGCAGGTTTATTTGCTATGGTTTACCTGCTATTGAGAAGTACACAAAGGGAAACATTTAATTTACTGCAGCAGGAAATAAATAAATAAGTATCCTCTAGTCTAGAAACGGTCATGATCACCACCCTTGCCCCACTCCCCTGCAAAAAAATGAGCATTTTACAAAGACAGAATCTTTATGAAATACTCATATTACCTGTGTTGGAATTTCATCTGTGACATTGGGAGGAGCTAGCGCTGTCCAGAAGTGTCAATCTCCCAGCCATCACCAGTGACAGCTGCAGGGAATTGTCTTTATCTATGGACGATCTCCTGGTCTTGCAGGATCCATAATAGATCTCAATTATGTATTCTAGCACATGCTCAAGTGCTCAAGGGTACAGCAGTGACATTGGCTCTTGCCGCTTCAGCTTTAAAGGACCTGCTGGGAGAAAATGGTGGGAGAAAATGGTGGTGCCCTCGAGGGACCGGTTCAGGTAAGTAGAACTCATCTTTGCCTGCCCCCCAGCCACAGGACCCCCAGCCGCGATGTCACTGTCAGGGGTCTTTGCAAATTCTGATTTAAAATTTAAAAGATGGTCAATATGGAGAATGTACTTCATAGAATCAATCATGCTGGATCCTTTTTATTATCAAGACCCAAAGGCATGTTCCTTTATACTATCAAGATCTATTCCCTCCCGCAATCAGAAATTATTGAATATGATTACTCTTGCTGCTAGAAAAGCTTTAGCTCAAGGCTGGGTGGGGGATAAAGTATCTAATGGACAACTCAACTGTGCAGGTGTGACACACTATTTCATGAGGTTTGTAAGCCATAAGAATAAATCTTTGGTCATAGATTTTATCTCCTCTGGTTTGATGGGTCTCTCTTCATCCAGCCCCATGGGGTATTTTGGGAGGTTGAAAAAGAGCTTGTGCACCTGGGTAGCCAAAAATCCTTGCACCGGCCCTGGACTTGCGCTAAGGTCATCCACTAATGGGGATGAATTTTTTGGTATTTTGGAGAAAGTCCTTTATATATCAATTATGCTGGATCCATGTTCCTTTTTATTATCAAGACCTATAGAAGTCCTTCTCTCCCACAATCAGAAATTATTCAATAAGATTACTTACAAAAACTTTAGCTCAAGGCTGGATTTGGGTAAAGTACTCTTTGATGATATGGTTCTATTTAAATTAAAGTATAATTATCTAATGAACAACTGAACTGCTCAGGTGTGAAACACTATTTCATAAAGTTTGTCAGCCACATTTTCTTCCAGTGCTAATCTCTTTTTCCCCTCTGTTTGATGTGAGCTTGGCCAATATGTTTTATTATGGAACATGTCTGGGTCTTGGTGCTTGGCTGTTGTCATGTATAAAAAAATTACCATAGGTATCCAATTCTGTATTTTACGTGTAAAGCCTTTTTTTTTTTTGTCTTCTGCAAATAAAAAAAAAAAAGAATAAAGAACAAATCAAATTTTTTTTAAAAATATTGTTTTTTTATTTTATTTAGGTTGTTAATTTAAATAATGTGTGCTACTAACTAGACACAACTGGCAGGGCAACAATGGAATGACTCCCTTAACAAAGGAGTGTTGAATAATGCAGGTTTTTTTTAACAGACCTTTACATCTAAATCATATGCTTCATGCCATGGTTATCCTCACTATATTATCTATATTATCTATAATGTCTTTATTTACAATATATTCAAATGTATATGCAATGCCATAATAACGGTTTTGAGTGTATTTTAATTTTCCGGAGTCTTTTAAAAAAGGTTTTGGTTTGCTTAGCTTAACCTGTTTATTTTAGATAAATATAACAACCAACTCCCCTCATTCACATATAAGTCTCTTTTTTTTTCCATTGTCTGCCTCCAGGGTGGCAGTGAGAAGCACAAAGTGGTGATTTGAGGAAGTACCATAAGGAAATCCAGAAGAGCAGTTCATCTTTCCAAAGGGTCAAGAAGGTCAGAATGAAAAACCAAAGGTCTTGAGATGAGAAACCAACAAATGAGGACAGAGGAGCAAGGATGGAGCTTAAAGCAGGACTAGATACAATCTGGTTTCAGGGATTGAAGTTCTTGAACTACTGATTAATGAGTGAACAGTCTCAGTGGTTTTTATATTGATTGTGGTACAAGTGACGCAAGGTGGTGACCATGGAGTGTAACTAATGAGCCATAAATACATGGATGAGAAAATGTGCGTGCACTCACTCACAAAATATATACAAAACAATAGAGTGCTAGAATTTGGCACAAGAGACAAACAGTGATGAACAACAGACAACATACAATTCTGTACGATTGACTTATGTCTAGGTCAGCTAACCAGGCCAACTCGGACACGTCACAGTTATCTATAAGATCTTGCTTAGATCAGGGTAGACTATTTTCAGTGGATACATTGACACTTAGAAGATGCTTAAAATTTTCAGTAAAGAACTTTTAGTCACCTAAACAAATGTATTCTCAGATGCAATTTGATTTGTTTACATGGAAAAAAACATATCCCCATCGTCAAATTCTCAGATTTAGTCCAGACACATCCTTCCATTCAGAGTTAGAGGCAAACTGACTTTCATTATACGTCATCGTTGTTCCTTAGTTTTTTTTGTTTTCATTTATTTAATTTCTCCTATTTGCCAGATGTCTTGTCCATTTAAACATTATCGTACTCTGAATCTTTAAACAGTTTTGTTCTGTTTTACACTTTCCTTTCAATTTAGAAAATATTCATTATAGTGCAACGTCAAAAAAAAAAAAAGTGCAATAGCTACCTCTAGTGGATTCTTTTGGAGTTTCGGAGTAACACAAAGGTCCTACTTTGTCTTATGGTATCTTTGTATTGTAATAGGAACTTCAATGAAATTCCAACGCAGTCAGCAATAGTATTATAATGTTATGAAATCTTGAGATGTGACACAACTGCTTTAAAGGGACACTCCAAACATACGCTTACTTTTAGTTGTAGAGATTGACAGAGTGTCTCATTTGTCTTATTTTATAAAAATGCTTTTTCAAGAGAAATCAACACTTTTCACAAACTGCCTAATTTGCACCCTCCCAGCTGTCAATCAGAGAGCCAGGAGGGTTCTCTTCCATAATTGCTTTGAATTTACTATTGGGACAGCAATACACTGGCGCTCAAAGCACAACAGGAAAGCGTGTGTTGAATGGTTGAATTGATTTTTTTAATATTTTTTGCACACTGGAGCAGCACCTGTTCATGTGACATAATTTGGATAAGAGTGAAGTTGGACCTGAACACATAAAATATGGCTTTTCGGATACCTGTTGTATTCAACGATGTTGTGGCCTCATTTACAGTAGAGCAGTGGATAAACCTGGTAGGTTGGAAGAAGGAGCTCTATCAAAATTTAGTGAGATATATCCATACCATTCTAAAGAAACAAGGCTATACAACTATTAATACAAATGTTTTATTCAACATCCAAAAAACTGATGAATCTCGCATTCACATTGACAAGTCACTTGCAGAAGGAGAACCTGATGTTGTTAGAGATGTACCTGATCTGTTGCTAAGGATAAAAGATGAATCTGTAGAAGAAGCTCACTGTAATGCCGAAAAACCTAAAATCAAAGAGGAACATGATACAGCTTTGCCTTCCAAATAATGTCTTGTCATCACTTCTGTAGTTTCATTAAACATCAAGGAAGAGCAGATGGCTTGTGAAGAGGTTGTCAAAGCTTCTGAACCACGTAAAACAAATCCACCAGAAGTTCAAGATGGCAGTATGTTTTTTATTAAGCAAGAGGAAGAAGTCTATTCCATAGACGATTACAGCTGCAAGAAAAAGTATGTGAACCCTTTGGAATGATGTGGATTTCTGCACAAATTGGTCATAAAATGTGATCTGATCATCATCTAAGTCACAACAATGGACAATCACAGTCGGCTTAAACTAATAACACACAAAGAATGAAATGTTGCCATGTTTTTATTGAACACACCATATAAACATTCACAGTGCAGGTGGAAAAAGTTTTCTTGCAACTGTATAATACGGTGGGACTGAAGACCACTGTTCAGGAAGTCCAGCAGTAATAATTGAGCAAGAATTTGATCCTTTATATCAAATTAAGGAAGAAGAAACCAGAGGGTATCCTGATATGATTCCTGTTATGGTGAGAGAGGAGGAGGGAGAACCCATGGAAGAAATATAAACCACAGTCAGTTCTGCTGCAGTTATGGCTACAAACAGAAAATCTCCTCCAAGAAAATCAGAGTCTGAAGAAATGAGAAGACTGTGTGCAATTCTGGACCATGAACGCCATAATCGACCAAATCCAGAATATTTCCTGGACATGATTGCATGGAACCCCATAAAACCATTAGTTGACGACTCTGTGCCAGCTCCACCAGCAGTTAGAGTTGGACATGTACGCTGGTGTACCCGTGGTCTTTGCATTTCCTTACAAATGGATGAAGAATGCATTTGTTGGCGAGATATTGTAAATGTTCGGAAGCTGCTTTTGTAAGACTCCGAGTGTATTTGTGATATTGAATATCTAAGATCTGACAGCACTCTACCGTTATGGTTTAAGTTTTAGGAAGAAACGCTTCAAGGGTGCAGAGTGTGAAAGTGATTACAGGATAACAGCCTACAGAGCTTTTACTATGTGGGTACATGGGACGCAATACTAGGAGATGCCTCATTCCATCATGTGTAGTGAGACGAATAAGTGACAACTTCCCAGCACCCGATAAAGATTTTTTTTTGTGTCCGTCCTGTTTCAAGTGATCCCTGTGCAGCAGATATGTGTGATATGTGGTAATTCTTCTAATAAAAATATTACAAAGTATATACTATTGGAACAAATTACTGGCATTGCATTGTAGGACCCCAATATTTCTATGAGAAGGGGCTGAGCAGGTCCACTATGAGGAAAACCTCTTGCCGCTGAATTAGTGGTAAGCAATAGCTTCATTTTTAAGATACTGGGGGCCCTAAATCTAACTAGGAGTCCAGTATTACATATAAATATACCTGTAATCAAAATTATCCAACACCCATTGAAAATCAGGTTTATTGTCAAAATTTCCAGCTGTTTGCAATGAACAAATCAAACAAATATCTAAACACAACAAATTCTTCAATTAGTTTCCCCAAATTCAACTGAAAATGAAACTTATAAGAACTTTTCCAGTCTCAAAATTATTCAACCCCATTAATAGAATCCCTCACAAGATCACAAATATGCAAAACCAGTGTTGTGTCAAGCACAGCTGATGCTACTAATAAAGGGCTTCATTGGTTGCACCTGGTGTGCTTGAGCTGGAACACCTGAAATACCTGAATTGGCTAGGAATTTGTTGAGTGCCATGTTTGACGGCAAAAGAATGGTCCGCGAAGTTAAGAGATGAGATCACCCTTCACAAGCAAGAAACCGGATACAAAACAGATTTGAAAGGCACTGAATGTTCCTTGAGACACAGTTGGAAAGATAGTTTGCAAGCTCAAAGTTAAAGGAACAGTGGTTACATTACCTAGACTGGGCAGAAAAAGGGAAGCTATCAATGGCTGCAACCAGATTTCTGAGAAGACAGGTTGTGAAAAACCCTTGAGTGACTGCAAAAAACCTGCAGCAAGACATGGTGGCAACAGGCACTGAGGTTTCAGTGAGCACAGTAAGGGCATACTAAAACCGCAGAGGGTTTTCATGCCAAAACTCCAAGACATACACCACCACTACTAATCCAAAAGCACATGAAAAGTTGGCTTCAATATGCTCAAAATCATTTAAATAAGCCACAGAAGTTTGGGGATTCTGTTCTGTGGAGCAATTAAACAAAACTGGAGCCTTTTGGCCCAATTAGTGGTATGTCCGGAGGAAGAAGAATGACGCATACACTGAAAAGAACACTCTGGCTGCAGTTAAGCATTGTGGTGGCTCGGTGATGCTCTGGGGCTGCTTTGCATCTTCTGGCACTGGAAACCTGCAGCATGTGGAAGGCAAGATGAATTATTGGATTAACAAGAATCCTAGGAGAAAAGTCATGCTGGGTTGCAGAAGAAAATTCTACAGTGGCAATCGATGACTTGGACCCCAAAGGAACTCTCTGGTGGGATTTGAAAAAGGTGGTTGCAGCATGCAAACCCAAGAATATTACTAAACTGGAGGCCATTGCTCATAAGATTCCTCAGTAACACCACCAGAAGCTGGTGTCTGGCCATGCATCTTGTTTGCAGCTGGTCATAATAGCAAAAGGGTGCTCTATTAAGTATTAAAGATGCTTTCCGTGATGGGGTGAATAATTTTGAGACTGGAGAAGTCATGAAACCTTGAATTTTCAGTTGAATTTGGGGAAACTACTTGGATCATTAGTTGTGTTAAGCTATTTCAATAGCTTTTCTTTGATTTGTTCGTGCAGCTGAATGTCCGTAATTTATGACGCATTAACCTGATTTTCAATTGGCGTTGAATAATTTTGATTACAACTGTATAATTAGCTGGAGTGTTCCATGAAGAATTGAGGGCCTGTATAACTGGTAAGAGGGTGATAATGAGTACATTTGTAATCCTACTGCCAATTTGAGCGGGGGAGGAGGCAAGCAGCGTGGCAGCTAGCTGCTTACAATATTAACCCATCAATTACAGCACTATTGGGAGAATGGTACGGGGGACCCTGGACCAGACCTGCCCCACTTTAAATAGTTTACTCTTCAATCACACAGTCGTGGTAATTGGGTTAGGAAGTGGCTGGCAGTTTGGCTTACCAGACACTTATTATTGATCACTCACCTGCAGCAGCAAAATTACGGTATTCGTTTCTCATTCCAAATTACGAAATTCAGATAAGCCATTTTTTTTTTCTATGCACAAGTCTATGAAGGAGACAAGCTTTGATTATAGCGGAGTCGTAGAATTTTCTTAAATTAGCTTTTTTTTTTTTTTTAAAGTCAGCTTTCCATTTTCCACGATTGGGTGAATAAACACCACAGTAATGGAATTTAGAATTTGGAAGAACGTGTTAACACTAACATGCTGTTTTGTAAATACAGAGGGCTGCTATTCTCCAATCTCCATCTTCCCTGTCAAACTTGAAAGGGCAGATTCAGCCCTTGGAGTTGTTAGCAACACTGCCACTAGCAACAACGAATAAAGCAAACTAGCCCGTCACCTTGCTCTAGGTCTGAAAACGAAATGCTGTCAACCACAAACACATGATTATTGTACAGTCTACAAACTGCCTGCCTACAAAATCAGAATCACTCACAGGCTGAGGGTTTGTGCCAATTTGTCTCAGCAATTTATAATGTGCATTTAACTCTGTTCCATTAATACTCCGTTCTGTACTAAAAGCATGACCAAGATAACAGGAGAGGATCAACGCAATAAACCAGACTACTACTCGGTAAGTAACATTGTTTTAATTTTAAACCTATGAACGCCACGCGGATGAGGGTTAATATAACTGCACATTTTAAGCCAAAACTTGAAAAAACAGATTAATTAAAAAAATCTTTTTTTTTTTATTTGGGCCTTAAATATCCATATTGAAAATCCTCTCAATTTTCTACATTGAAATTGATTAACCCTTTAAAGGGATACGTGGATCCCCTGAAGCAGGGGTTCCCAAAAGTAGGTCCCCAGATGTTTTAAAACTACAACTTCCATGATGCTCTGTCATTCTAACAGTAATCTTTCCATAAATCATTTTTAGTATAATGTTATCAATGCATATAATATCAAAACTGTAACATTTTCATATAACAGAGTAAACAATTGCTATACGACAATTTACAACTATTTTTCCTAGATTGACATCAAAGCTTTGCTTAAACGTATTATGCTGTTGTCCTCCGGTAATTGTATCCTTATTAGCTTCATTAAAACATAAGAATACCATAGAAAGATAACATAGAGGGAGCGGAATACAGAAAGTGCTTGGAACCACTCTTACGCCAAATTAACCAGAACACACAAATTCCAGGTTTAGTTACCCCGGGGGTATGAAAAAATTTGCATTATTCACGGATGATATTCTCCTGTTTCTTTCGGACCCAACAACTTCAATTCCGAAGCTACTAGAAATCCTGGACACATATGGTAGAATCTCCTACTATAGAAACAATACGCCCAAAACCCAAGCTTTACCCATAAATCTCCCTCAAGCCGTAGTGACCCAGCTAGAAAATCTATACACATTTGATTGGAGGAAAAAAAAACTGTCCTATCTAGGGGTTCAATTGACTAAATCCCTCCAAACAATTCCAACAGAAAACCACTATCCATTGTTACACAAGATAAAAACCTCACTGGTAAGATGGGCTGAATTAGAAGTTTCTTGGTTGGGTCGCATAAACTCTCTAAAAATGATGATCCTGCCTCTCATCCTTTACCTATTTCGTACGTTGCCAATATCACTGCCTACCAAACTTATTAATCAAATTCAATCTACCATTAATGCACATGTGTGGAAGCGAAAGCCACCTCGAGTGGCATACCGTAATTTAGGGCTCCCTTATATTAAGGGAGGGCTGGGATTACTAGACATCAGGGCCTATTATAGGGCCACAGCGCTAGCTCAAGGAATACGCATTTTGCGACTCTCACATACGGACCCCCGCCCGCTTTGGCTGTCCCTAGAGAATGCATGCATAAGTCCACACAACATTGCTGGCTCCCTATGGTCCAACATGATGCCCCTGGTCAAGTGTGCCCATATGCTACACAATTCCAAATTTCTAGTACAAGCTTGGAGATCCTGGAGTTCAACCATTATTAAACCTGACACCCTATTCCATTCTGCACCAATTCTAACAGTATTCTAAAGGCATGCAAAGCATCATTGGAGTTGTAGTTCTACAACATCTGGAGAGCTACCTTTTGGTCACCCATGCCGTAAAGCAAACTGAAGAGCTTCAGAGGTTAACAGAATGTGCTATCTTTCTCACTGTATAAAAGTGAAGATTTTAAGAGAAGTCAGCGATTATGGAGCACGCACCTTGCACACATGCATCTACTACGCAGCCTTCAAGAGAAGCATCGGATTGTTACATAGTTACATAGTTACATAGCTGAAAAGAGACTTGCGTCCATCAAGTTCAGCCTACCTCACATTTGTTTTTTGCTGTTGATCCAAAAGAAGGAAAAAAAAAAACAGTTTGAAGCACAATTCTGCAACAAGCTAGGAAAAAAATTCCTTCTTGACCCCAGAATGGCAGTCAGATTTATCCTTGGATCAAGCAGTTATTGGGCAGGATAGTTATAGTTTCAAATCAAGTTAACTAGGAAGTGGGAGCACAGGGGGGGGGGGGGCAGGAAACTCCCCAACACTTTAGCGCTATAAAAGTAAAAAAGACGCGGGAGTTGCCTATAGATGGGCGACCCCAGGAACTCTCTGGATCACTAAGGACGATAAGCACTACAAGGCCACTGACCACACGGAGTGCCCAGCACTGATGACTGCTTTCCTATGGACTGGCTGAATGCGTGCGCAGCCTCTGCTGCGCATGCGCATTCAGCCGGTGACG